TGAACGTCAAACATATCTCGTAATGGTAATGGAGACGGTTGTGATTTGGCAACTGGATTTATTAAATCTTAATGGATAAATCTCTCAATGGAGACATAGTATAAGTACTTACTTGTTCAGCGCAAGGTCCTAATGGAGTCCACAACTCAACTTTCTCCGTTAAATCAATGTTGCTGAGAGGTATTTGAGCGCCACCAATACAAACATGACGAGAGTACGCATCAAAATCGTAGAGTAGAATTTCAATTGTACGCTTGTCAATAACATTCGTGTTTTCCTCAAAAACAAAGTCTTCGTCAAAAACTACAAAAAATATGTAGGTAGATTAAGATAAAGGCGTACATACATATATATATATACATAGTTTTTTGGTATAAAATACGTTCAGCTTACTTGGGTTAAGGGTTCTTTTATGTATGCGTGTTTGCCAGAAATTCTTCTTCTCCGGTAATAGGCGCACTTTAGCATATGGATCAGCTGTGCCGCTAAAGTCACGTGGTTGCAAATTGTGTGCCTTAAAAGATGTATGCAAAAAATACATATGTATTACCTACATAGTGACACGCTCAAATAGTGATGGGCATGAGACAAATTTCATTCATTTAGGGCCGTTTTCTCAAGTACCCTGTAACTTGAAAGCTCAATATATATTTAAAGGTTGCATTAAAATTTATGATTGTGCCTAAAGTAAAGCATTTTATTATCGGGTTTAAATTAGTTTACAACCAAGAAACATACATACGCAAAAAACCGGTAATAAAAATGCTAAACTTTAGACATAGCTTTATTTTAATCCAACCTTTAAATATAAAGTGAACCTTAAAGTTAAAGGTTATTTCAGAAAATGGCCCTTAGGGATAAAAGATTTGTAACAATTAGTTACCACTTTTCTACCCGAGTGCAATTGTACAAAAGGGTATTCTAACTTTGTTCACACAACTGTTGGGGTGCCACTACCAGGGTTGCCACTGACTAACAAAATATTTACAATCCACTTGAAAAAATTTACCAAATCAGAAAAATATTTACCAAGAACTTTTTCCTAGCTATTTTAATAAAAACTATAGTTTTGTTCTATTTCAATAGAAATTAAAATCTTTTACTAATAATAATAATAGATTGGCGCTTACACATATGTTAGTGTTTGGCCGAGCTTCTCCTCTGACTTGTGGCGAGCGTCTTGATGTTGTCACAGAAACTCCGAACGGCGATTGTATTTTTATGAGAAGCTGTTTTTCATGGCAGAAATACACTCGGAGGTTTGCCATTGCCTCCCGAGGAACGACCGCTTTTAAGAAAACACTTTTTTTCTAAATTTATTTGCGATGTTGCTTTGACCAGGGCTTGAACCCAGGTGCTGCGGAGTGGAAGCGTGCACTGCTTACCACTACACCACAGCGGCCGACTAAAAGTTTTTTATTAAGGAACTTTTTATTATATATTGATTAGGCATTTAAGATCATATTGATGACATCTTTTCGGTTTCCTTTAACCAACAGCGAAAGTGATGAAACTAAAGGCAACAACGAAACTTCATCATTTGAAAAAAACTTCAACTGGATTTATTATAGACTAATACAGTGACTCAAAAAACGCCTTGACGATTATTTTAATATTCACAATATTGTTGAAGTATAATTTTTTTGCTATTTTTGTTTGTATTGTGTGCGATTTAACCAAGCCCATTAAAATCAAGGATGAAAGCTATATTTTCAATAATTCCAAAAATTTTCGTCTAAATTTCGCGTTTTTTAATATGAATTTTTCGGTATGCAGCTTTATAGTCGATGGAAGTTTATTATAACAAACAATGTAAAAAGAAATTTATAATATAAATTTAAGTCTGGAGAAAAAGAAGTCTGATGAGGAGATTTGGTGATCTCCGAAATAGCTGCTATAACTTCTACCGCTTAGACTTTGTTGCTTTTTCCAATTTTTCCTAATAAACTAATCGTGTTACAAAGCTCAATAAAAATATTAAAATTAAATGTTAATAAGCCACAATAACAATGAAAAATTAAATATTTTCAATTTGTTTTGAAAGGTTTTAAGCGTCGAGAGCGAAAGCCAAATTCATATGTTTTCGATGTTGGCGTTATGAGAGTACAAGATGTACTGACGAAATGTATGGATCGCGTTTTGAAAATGCCACACGTTCAATATTTATTGACGGTATTGCGATCCACGATCCAGATTTTTAAATATTTTAAATATCTAGAAATTTTGCGATATAGCCATCAATATTGCATGCTCTACACCAGGTATGCCCATCGCAGGGCACTTGCATATGGGATTCTGCCAGCGCAGGGCACTTGCTTATGGAGTTCTGCCAACGTTGGGCATGCTCTACACGGTCAGTAAATATCGCGATACTTGGATCACGTCACTAAATATTGATCGTGAGACAGGACCTATTAAGTCTAACTGAACATGCTATCGAAAATGTTTGAAATACGGGTAAAATTATCCCTGCCTACCATGTAGCTGTAGTTTTGGAGAAGTGAAAAAAAAACTATATATAATACGTGTGCCGAAAATTTAATGTTCGGCCTCGCCCGAACATAGACTTTTTTAATTGTTTAACTCAATTATGTAAGTTTTTTTTCTGATTTAACATTAGTTCTGTTCGTCGAGCAAATAACTTGTACGAATTTGTACAAATTATCATGATTTTTGCTCAAATCGCGTTCGGCTGGATAACTCCACTCAAAAACTGAGAGCGCAAAGTGACAGTTCTGTTGGAGAGAACTTGCAAATTCCTGCTAGAAAAATTTTAGTCAGCAAGAACAATATATTATTGTAGCACATGGCATTTTTGTCGACGATAATTTGAATAAATTAGTTCGTTAAATAAAATCTAGTTGATATAATTAACTTAGTTATTTCCAATGATTTGTATTGTACTCAGCTGAAAAGAAAAATTTATTCGTGATCCGAATGCAATCGCAACCAGATTCGATTTAAGAAACCCGACAGCTAATACGATAAAGAAATTTAAATGTATGTTAAAGAAAGTCAGAAGAACAAGAAATATGCATGTGCATATATCCTATAGAATGTTAGAAATTCTATAAAAATTGATTTTGGTTGAAATGCAACCCTAGACACCAGCTTGCAAATTCTTGCAAATTTTCGTTCGTGCAGAAATTTGCAAGTTTCTCTATATAAGAGAGAATTTGAGAGAACTTTTTCTCACTCTCTGATATTTTGAGTGTTGGGCAATACTTGCTGGATTTTCGACGAACAAACGTATTGATTTCAAAAGATATTTTAACAAGTAATTTTTACAAAAAAAGGACTTCAATTCTCATCTAAAATTTCAAAAGTGCCGTTAATTTCTTTATGATCCAATGATTGGATCTAAACCAAACTAATTAGTATGAGACCTCCTCAAAGTTGCCAACTTTCCTTTAAAAAAATCATAGAAATCGGTTAACGTGGTCCAAAGTTATGCGGTAATATACATAAAAATAAATAAATATTCCAACGAATTGATAACATCCTCCTCGGTTAAAAATAAACGAAATATAGTTTTTTTAGTTATTTGTTGGCCTAATAAATCATATTAAATAATTTATATTGCGTGTAGACCACCACCATTTATAAAATATTATTGTTTTTCCACAATAGTTTTTCAATATAAACGGTCTCAAGCTCAATGTACATTGTTAAATAAAGAAAAATTATACATTGTTAGTGTTCAAACTTGCCTGGTTATCAGGTTATTTGATTAAAAATTATTGTTCTATAGCAAGGTTGCCGTTTTGGGCTTTTCCTACCAAAATTGGTAGGTTTTTTTTTCGTTGGTAGGATGGTAGGACGCTTAAAATTTTGGTAGGTTCCTTTGCACATAAAACAGAAAACATCTCTGGCTTGTTGTGATGTGTCACTTTGTTAGCACTGTGAATAGGCTTGCCAAATTTTAATAATATCAATTTTACCCTCATTCATTTAAAACCTCGTTGCTTACTGGTATAGGCAGAATTCTACCAATAAATATCAGTTGATTGAACTGATGGATGTAAAGGCAGGTTTATAAATAAGATAAAGATTAAAGGTGAAAAGGTGCGAAGTCAATTTTTTGAATTTGTTCAGGAGAGACCAAAAATTCGTTCTGCATCACAAACTAAATTTAAAAAAAGTGGACTTGGCACCTTTTCACCTTTAGGTAGCAATATGTATATGTACATACTTCATAATGTATGTAAGTATGCAAATGAGCGATAAAAAAATCTATGACGGAATTTTATTTTCTGCTACGAATTTTTTGCCACTTTTTCGGTTTTTCGCAATGTACTCGAAATTTTGAGGGTTTAGATGTCAAACGGACCTCATATTCGGATTCAGTGGGTCGAAATACATGTCGGTAGGTGTGTCTGGTTAAAAGCACACACCACTTTTTGTTATATGTATATTCTGATCTTTTCATTTACTGGATATCTTATTTTAAGTATAAAAACCAGAAAAAATAAAGATATTTAATGCTGCCAAACGCCGTTTTCTTGATTAAAAGAAATGGGAGGAAACCATTTTGGCAGGTTTTTAAACCCACTCTTGATAGGAAAGAAAGTTTTTCAGTGGCAACCCTGTTCTACAGTGTATTTATTGTCGTAAACAGTATACAAAATATTTTTAGCCTCATAACCTGATAACCAATCAAGTGTTAACACCCATATTGGCATTATAAGAGTTAAGATTTCTAAGTTCAAATGGGAATACAAAAAAATGGTAACCAACTTTTTCAAATCATTTAGTACTTTTTCATAACTTAAACAGCTGAATCGAATGCAGTTGGTCCGATTTCCATCACTTCAAGCTTTTTGAAGTTTGATGCACTATGCTATTGACAAATAGGAAACCCAACATGAATTGAGTAAAACTTTCCTACAATAATGAGGGAGCACGTTGAGTTAACCAAGGAGTTTTCCTTAACACTCACCTCTATCAAATGCACAGACAGCATTCCGGCTATGGGATCGTAGATAACACTCAAATGAATATTGCCACGAATATCATCACTGCCTTGGGGTGAGGTCTTCTGCTGGGAGTTCTAAATAAGAAAGCAGTGCTTACTTTGGTTTATAAATTTTTAACTGTTATCAAGAGCGTTCACTACTCACATTTCTATAAAGCGACATATCAATTTTTGTATGGTCCAATTTTGCGCTCATCGAGGACACCTTCGGTCTGCTGGGATTCATACCCAAAACTACATGCTTGTCGGAGCGTGTAATGGGGACCGAACTTGTCGAAGACATTGAGAGAGTATTCGATTTGAGACTACCAGTTGGAGAGGTAGGTGATGGCGGTGGGGACTCTTCAGCGGATGTGGAAACCTGTTGTTGCACAGTCTTGCGTGGCGGTGGTACCCAGAAGCTGGGATCATCGGTGTTAATGGATGTGGGACTCATATTACCTTTGTAAATTGAACGGGAACGCGAACACTCACTAACATTGTCCGAATTAAAGCTAGCAGCGCCGGCAACTAGCTGGTCGGTGCTAATAAAAAAGGAATACAATTTCACTTTAAAGCTCTTTGAGAGGTTGGAAAAAAATTAAAATTTCCAACCCAATCAAATATTTTTCAAACTCACCACTTTTCCGGGTCCTGAGTTTCCGCAGCTGATTCAAGTAGATTTTTCTCAAACCAGTTTAGGCGATATTTTTTCGAACACGAAACGTAGAAAAGCGCACCTGCGACAGTCACGACCAGAAAGGATATGGAAGCATAAATGCCCACCTGTGCCACGGACACATCCTCCTCACTTATAAAAATATCCATATTTTTATCGCTACTCAAGACGGGCATTTAATCGTTTATGTCAATTAACTTAAGTGGCCGGTAGTGACTATAGAATGCTTCTGTAATGAATAGAAAAAATATATTTTTTTGTTATCATAATACATACATACATATAAAGTTTCGTAATACAGATACATATTTAAGAGGAGGTCTCTAAGCTTTGAGGTATGCTGCAAAATCTTATTAAAGGCTCCGTTAAAGCTGTGACAGACGGCAAAGCTTATGCATCTAATCTGGCGCACATATGCGCATAATAATTTTACCTTTACAGAGGGCAGTAATGCGGATAAACGAGCCGAAAGGTTGTGGGTTCGAGTTCCACGGCCAGTAGAATTTTAATTTATTTCGTTTTCATTCTTTTTTTTATAAGTTCTTTATGCTACATGGCAAGCCGGGGTGTATCAATTTTGAGTAAATTAGCGTCCTTAAATTTCGAAATATTGAAGTTTCAAGCATTTCTGAAATGTACCGTTATATGAAAAGCGGCCTCATCTTTAGTCCGATTTCAATAATTTTCAACGTTTTGCTTTTATGTGGCAAGCACAATAACCATACCGAGTTTGGTACATAATGGTAGAGTTGGTACCAAGATACATATATGTAATCAAAAGTGGGCGGTGCAACGCCCGTTTTCCGAAATTTTATCATAAACGTATTTCTTGGTAAAGAATTGTTGCAAGAGTCAATTTTGAATAAATTAGCTTTAATATTTACTGATTTATCGAAGATTTCGTATTTCTCCAAATTAGCGTTATATGGGATGTGGGCGTGGTTATTGTCCGATTTTTTAAATTTGGTATGCTGTAGCAAGACTAACAACTGTGCCAAGTTTGGGAGAAATTGGTGCAGCGGTTACCAAGATATACACATGTAACCATAAGTGGGCGTGGCTACGCCTACTTTCCAAAAATTTATAATATTCTTATTTTTCGTCTAAAAATTATCGTAAGTATCAATTTTGAGTGAATAATCTTCAGTAGTTACTAAATTATCGCAGTTTTCGTATTGCTGAAAATTACCGTTATATTCTGGTAATTTATGTATACATTTGTGTATATCTCTCTCGATTCGTTTTGCCTATTACAAACAACCGTTATGTGCACAAGTCGCTCGGGTATAAAAATCAACTAAAATTTAATGGGCTGCAAAACTTCATTTTCAAAATTTTTATAAAAAATTTGATGAGAAAGTTGCAAATTTATTGAATTTTCCCGAGTTTAGCACAAAGTTTAGAAATTTTATTTGTATGTTTTTTAATGTATTTAGTATAAACTGTATTTTTATAAAGAATAAAAAAAGGTGCATGCATTGCGAAAAATTCTTTGTGCTTTAGTTGTGATAAGATATTTTGTTTTATTGGCGGACGTTGTAATGATCTCACGATCTCAATTTCAAGACCCTACCCCCTAATTTTATATGTTTTTATGAGAAAGATTATTGCCAATTTTATAGATTTTTTAAAGGTCATTTAGAGATCGCGACCTGTCGATTTAAGTCAGAAAATACGATTTTGTGGAATTATGAGTTTTTGAATGACTATTTTTAGGATTCGATTTCAGGGATCGAATATGATCTAAGAAGAGGATATATAGGCCTATAAAATGGTATATACAATCTATTGTCGAACTTGCCTTGTTGAGATTTTTCATCGGGAAAAACCCATATTTCTCTTATATTTTTAAATTTTGACCATCGATAATTTCCACAATTTCAAAATATGTAGCGTTGCCTAAAATTACATTTATTTTCAAACAAACTGATACCTCATTTATTAAAATCGCATAAAAATTGTCGAAGGTAGGCTACTTTTCTTAAATACGGCCTAGAATTTATGTGTGTATTAGAGGTATACGCCGCCGAGCAAAACCGCCGCCGCCGCCGTTTTTTGTCATTACTCACGCGCCGCCGCCGAGTTACGAAAATATCGGCGCGGCGGCGGCGTTCGGCGCCTAAGGAATTTTGTACAAAATTTTCATGATGAATGCACATTGAAATACATCGCTTGAAGGAGCTACTACTCCAGAATATATAAAATTGTTTTCCAATACTACAACAATATTCCTTTTTTACATATTACTGCAACAACAAGAAAGTTTTTGTGAACTTTTCACACCAATAAACTAACGATAATATCTCGAAAGTAAGGATAAGTAAGTTATTTTATTCTTGGGTCTCACAGACATATACAAGTACTAGGAGGCTGTGTGAAAATTATGTTAGCATTCACAAGTTGTGGTCAAACCCCAGAAAGGTTTTGCTCCTTCGCATCGGAATGTTTTCTACACAGGGTTAAAGTTCCCCCTTCTTGGTGGAAATTAGTAGTATTTTTCATTACTTTCGGTTATCCTTAGGAAAATTTGGCGCTTAATATTTTAGTGGAAGTTTTAATTAATTAATTCATAATTAATTCTATAAGCCATTTTTTAAACAGTGGCTCAAAAAGACCTGTTCTACTGGGAGTTGATGGGTGAAACTGTTGGAAAATAGTAGACCACCCTAGTTTTCAATCTAGAACCCGCAAAAAATCGTAAGAACCCTGTAATTTAACATAACGGTAGATTAGATTTTTACAAAAAATGATTAATAGCGACATAAATTACTCCAA